AAGTACCTGGTAGTAGCTCAATCCCATAAATGCCTGGGAGATTTTTTCTTTTTTCCAAACAGAATGAGCACATTCTGAAAACATATATGATGGCTTGGATATTAGCCCTTTTGAAGAGACATATTTATATCTACTTGTAAAGTTATTTTTATATAAATATTTTAAATGTGTTGTTTTCAAGTGAGTTTACTTGTTTACTTGAAATTTGGAGATTGATGGATTACATAGAAGCCTCACTGGAGTTTTTTTGCCTATGTTAAGAAAGGAAAAAGGTCTTTCAGACTTTTTGTAGAGTTTTCTTATTTGTTTGAATAACTTTAATAAGTAGAAGTACATTTAGAGCCTCACAGGAGAAAACACCATGTAGAATTTATCTAGAGATGAAGAAAGAATCAGAGAATTTGTCAGATTTATCAATTCGGTTTTACATCCCTCGTTAATTAGCTTTTATTTCTAATGCTCTTATCATTGTAATTTGGCGATACCCCAAGCAGTGGTATTGAATACATTTACCAAATGAACACTTTCTTCCATCCTCTTTGCAAAAGTAATCTTGGAATTGGTTGGTTTGGGTTTTTTTTTTCTTTAATGTGTGTATTAGAGCAATGCTGTGTTATGATCTCTGAAGAAGAAAGTGAAGGTGAGGTGTAGGGGATTTTCATTTCCTTATTTTAGCCAAACAATTTTTACAGAACTGCTTTAGGACATGTGCAGTCATGCCCAAAACTTTGAGGTTTGCCTCTTATTGGGGATCAACCTGCCTGCCCATACCTCTTTGGTAGGTGGGAGTATAAATTATGGGATTCCAGCTTCTTTGCATCTGTATCAACTCCTCAGTGTAACCCATTCTTTTTGGAAGGGAAAAAGTGAAGACCCAAACAAACCATGATTTTAAACTGAATAAAGCGTTCAAAGAGATTTGACTTCCCTCTCCTCATTCCTACAGCAGTCTTTGTTGAGCCATATAGCGGACATTTCCATATTCAGTTATATTCTTCATGGTTAATTTATTGCAAGGGAAACTTCTAAACAGCCATTGTTAAAATCAGCATGAGACTAGAAATAAAATCTGCTTCTATTTTAGTTTTTTAAGACACTATATTGTGAATAGACATTACAGTTGTCCTCTTAGAACACTGGCACGTGCGCTATCCTTGCGTGACTAACCCATTTGATCATGGTTTCTGGCACTATGAAGCCTTGGTTTGTTCTCCTTCACCTCCTCTTCCTCTTCTGTAACCCCTTCTTTTTTTCCTCTAGCACTCATGAATAGTGCACATCAAAAATGCCCTGTGGAAGAGGTATGTCTGGCACAACACTATGCAACTCTTGAATCAAGTATGCTTTGCTGATTTCAGCTAATGATGCTGTGATGGCACAGGAACAGCATAATTGTCAGCTTTTGCACAATAAGACTCTACCACTTCCTAAATTACACTTGCTATGCAAAAATTTGTCCCTTGGATAATTTCCTTTTCTCTCTAAAGAAATCAAAATGAAAATATAATGTGGCCATTGAAAAAAATTACTTGAATATGAATACGGCAAAAATAGAAAAATGAAGAGGTCAGGCTTCACTTATTTTATGTAACTTAAAACACATGGTTTGGGAAAAAAAAGTGTTGCTGACTTAATCCACAAGTGATTAAACTTTAGGAATTTTCTAGCTGGGAACATTTAATTTTTTCTTTTTACATAAAGGAGGGTGAAATAGCTTCTTAGATTTTGTGTCTTAGTACTTTTCCCTTCTCTAAAACAAACAGAAGAGACATTAAAAAAAAGATTAAAGAACACATTTCAGAAATGAGCCATCAAAAGCAAAGCCAGACGTGTTTAACACTTCTTTTTGTTTTATTCATGGATTGTTTTAACTAAAGAAAAAGAAAAAGAAGTTTGAACTCTAGGGTCACTTCAATGCAGAACGCAGGAACATGTGGTGAGGAAGAAGACAGAGGACAGGACTATCTCTCTTGGTGATAACTTGGACATAGAGTGACTTAAACTGGTTATGAAACTGCACCCTAAACCTTCTAAAAACTTCTCCTCATATTTAATACAAATAATTTTTTTTTTAAACTGGGCCACTCTTAAAATCTGTGATTTATGATTGGATGCTGTATGTTCTCCATTTAATTGGTAGTGGATCGGTAAGGGCACTGCTATTATCCTTATCTTATTGCTGTGACGGTATATTTTAACATCTTTAAAATTTTTATTTCTTTTCTTTAAATAGCTTCTCGGACCTCTAGCCATAGTGAACAGCAGAGGGATAGAAGGTATGATGCTGTTATTTATATTGCAATTCGGTGTTACTGTAAAACTTGTTTGAATGTGTCACGGTATTACTTTTTATGGCTTTCTCCTCTAGTTTATCTTTTTTCCTTCTCGCTATCCTTAGTGTGTTTAAAAATAAATTAGACTTGCAATAAAGTAAAAATGCTGTGATTCTTAAGCATGGGGTAGGTTAAGAGTTTGAGGAGTTTTCTCATCGACTTTTGTACATGTCCTCAAAAAAAGAATGCAACCAACCATCAAACCTCTGCAGAACTGTTTTACTTTCCTGACATCTATTTACAGGATCACTTCACAATGAAAATAAGCACACTTTCAGGCCTCATTCCAGTTTCTCAAAGGGTATCGAGAAAGGAGGTCACCAACCCGGATAGCTGGTGAACCGAGTCTGCCATTATTTCAGGTGTGAAGGGACTGTAGCCCTCTTTTTTAAATTCTTTTTACAGTAGTTTTAGAAGTTACGCTTCTGTAGGTTTTTTCTGTCAGCAGGCAGAGGCTTCTGTAGCAGACTCTTCATCCACTCACAAAACTCACTTCGCAAAGTGTATTTTGTGTGAGACTCTAGATTGATCAGTGGTACTCTGGGGGCCATGGTCTGGGAGCGTGAGCCATCACTGCAGCTTATGCTCTAAAACAGTTGTTAGAGTGATGAAACAGGGGTAGTACCTATGGGTCCTTAACTGTCACAGAAGTCCCTGTTGTACGAGATGCTGTAAGCAAATAGGCCCTGTCCCAAAGGCCTCGTGAGGCTTGCTCTGCCCCACTTTAGCACAGTGGGAGGTTTCCTTAGAGGTCTGAGGATAGGCAAGCTTTCAGGTAGCCAGCCAGAAGCAGGTTAACTATCCTAACTGTTTTCACATTGTAGCAGGCTAAGAAGGACAAACACATGATTAGTTCTCATTATCCCATGAAGACTAAGACTTCTTCCATCTAATTGAGTTACACTTGTGTTTAAGTACTTTAAGCATGTAAATTATTGCACTGAAGCCAATAAACCTGCTTTTTGGCTTAGGCATTTAATTAGGTGCTTTGAATGGAAGCCTAAGTGCTTGTTAGAAAGGTCAGGTAAGTTACTTTTAAATCATAGAAAAAACATCTTTGGTTAAATCAAAAAGACCTGAGCTATTTTGATTTCCCATGCTGAGAGAACCTTGGTCTTTTATACTTACAAGAACTATTTTAAAATGTTTTAGGTAATTATTCCCCTTTGTCTTCATTTCCAGGCGTCCTGAAATTACAATAGTTGCTGCTGACCCCCTCCGGCCATCCTCCTGGTTTCCAGGTGCAAGCCCTGTCACTCCTCAGGGATTAGGATTCCCTTCTGCTTCATCTCATGCTCAGTGGAGGAGAAATGAGCATATTCCAGCTGAGGTGAGCGTGAATTTACATGAGGTGTGTTTGATTTACAAAGGTAAAAAGCACATTAAGTTAGAGAGGAACAGTTTTTGCTTGCTTAGACTTTCATCACATTGAATAAAAGACTATAGCAATGTTTTTTTCCTCTGCCTATGTTAATTTAGTATTTTTAATTTTTTTTTTGTAAAGGAACACATATGAATATACATTAAAATTTATCTATCTGTTTTGTAGCTTCCACCATCATATGAGCAGGTGATAAAAGAAATCAATCAAGTGCAAGTCAACACAACAAATAACAATAATGCTGCTGCTCCTAGACATACCACTACTTCTGCAACACAAACTGACTTTCCAGAGGAACTAATCAGCCATTTGCCAGGAAGTAATGTAAAAACTTGTGTGCCTACACACTGGGAATCTGCAGGCTACCCAGGTGAGGCTGTTTTGGATTTCTCATTGATGAAAACCTTACTCAGTCTCATGAAGATGTTCTTTATTATTGGTCTGTGCAGTATTTAATATGAATAACAGTTAAATTTCTGTGAATTATTACTGCTGTAAATTTCTGTAAAAATCCTCTCTTCTGAAAAACTACCATGGCATTCACAGTCAGACTATAATTAAATCTTGAAAGTTTTGCTCACTTCAGCCATAATGGCAATTGCTTTGGGGCCAGAGGAGCTCAGATGTCCAATCAGAATAGCAGCAGTGTTACACATTCAGACTGAAAAGTATGCAAACCAAGCTGGGGAAGTTACTGTATTATTCTTTGGTCTAGATGTTGCTTGCATGCCCCTCATGCTGCAAGCTAACAAGTAGTTTTGAACCCACAATGTGTAGATACCATGCATTTTGGCAATCTTCAGCTTCTTCCTAGAGTTCATATATTTTTTCATTTATCTTTTTAGAAAGAGCACTGCAGTTTCATAAGCAGCAGTAAGTTCTGAATGAAAACCATCACGTTTATCATCCTGATGGCTGTCAAAAAATAACATAAATAAAGTGTTCTGGAATAGATAACTAAAACCTTTTCTTTTCTGTTAGCAGGGCAGAGTCCTCTTAAACCTCCTAGGCCTTCTGCATCTCTCCTGAATAAGTCTCCTTCAGAAAATAAGAATCCCTTAATAGTCTTTGAAACTTCTGAAGGTCAGAGGTGCCAAGAAAATCCCAATGCTGTGATATGTCCTGTGCCAAAGCCAAGAACAAGAAGCAATCTCAGACCTGTGGTCAAAAATACTGAAAGTAAGGTAGACAATGGAGAAGTGACCCAGTCTACCACAAAAAGGCAGCAACCTCCAATTCAGCAGTCACCTCTCTTGGATGACAGCTTACTAGACAATCACTTTGCCATGGACAGCATGAGTACAGAAAACAGCCAGAATAGTATTGTTTCAAGGATCAAAGTTTTTGAATCCCAAGGAACTAATGATACCTCAGGATTATCAAAAAAGCCAGAAATTGCCCCTCGTTCATTCACCCCAAGACCTGTTGCTGCAAAGAAGCCAGTGGTTGCTCCAAAGCCAGGGGTAAGCAGAATTTCAGGAGACTGGGATGCATGGACAGAAAGCAAATCAACACCTTCCAAGGAATTGCAGCCTCAACCTGAAGTAGCTGGGAGCAGTGTTGTAACCAAACCTGAACTGCCAAAGAAGCCAAAACCTGGCCTTGTTAAAAGTAGTAGTAGTGATTTTCTTGATGCGAGGAGTGGATCAGTTGCAGAGAACAGCGATGGACAAAAGAAATTTCCTGTTCCTGCTCCAAGGCCTCTCGTTCCTAAAAAGTCACGTTACGCAGAAAATCCTGCCCTTTCTTTGGCCTCACTAAAACCAATTGCTGCTCCTCCACGGGCTTCTGTATCTGCCCAAGAAAAAGTTTTCAAGTCTCTGGGGGAATTGTCACCTGCAGCCAACTCCTCAGCACCTGCTTTGCAAAATAAACTAGATGTGGAAGGAGATCTAATCAGTTTTGATGATGACGTTTTGCCCCTGAGTCCAGCTTGTGTCGTTAAAGATAGCGTCAGTTCTGAAGCAGCAGCAGGTAAGAAGAAATTTTTTTAAACTGTCACTGTGGTTACTCTTTGCAGGTGTATGATCCTGGGTGAGTTACATCTACCTGTCTTGACGGGGTTTATGTGTGTATTTGAAATTCTTGGGTTTCTATTATGTCAAGACCACTATGAAATGACTTGGATTTTGAGACTTGGGAGGTTTCAAGGCTATATAAATCTCAGGACTTGCCTGCTGGATTTATTACATGATTAATAAAATAATGATAAAAGACTTGATGTTATATGCTAGATGTCACCTCCAGAATGTATCACAATTCTCTCTGGGGAGCTTGGGACACCTTATCTCCCACCATCTAATCTGACTAATTTATTTGATTGAGTCCCTGAAGTTCTGTAGTGGAAATCTAGTCATCTAGAGAAACAGCAATGTTTGTTGCATTTAGGGAAACTTGTGATGAAGCATACTGGAATACTCTGTCCATCTCACCAGTGCCTACTTATTTTCTCTTTCCTATCTTTGTGTCTTGTCTTGTCATGTAACTATATGCTTGTTATGCAACTTTAATTTTTTCTAATAAGTGAAAATAATTATTTCATATGGACAGATTAATTACTACAACTACATCCCTTTCATAAACCTTGTTTGATTCCATTAAGCACTTGGGGTCGATTTTTTTAACACTGTTTTAGGTAGTTTAAGACACAGGTGGGTGTTGGGCTGTCGTTAAATTTTATAGCAATGGGTTTTTCCCTCTTCATATTGAAGTATGTCCTGATACAGCTTACCAGCCCCATTGCAATCCAGGGAGAGTTCTGCTTTAAAACGGATAGTGTGTCACATAAAATGCTTGTTTAAGGGACTAACTATGATTTTTAATCTTTTTTTTTGAACCTCATTTATCATTAAACATCTCAGCTTTCTGAAGAGAGAAGCATAGATACTGTGTAGTTGTCACAGTAAATCAATATTAATGATTGTTAACAAATGTGATTTCTTTACAGTTTGTGGATTATATCTTTAGATGAAGTTCTGATTTGTTATTGTTTCTCCTCTGTATTGGCATAAAAACCCCAAGGAAGATGTAGAAAGTCCCTTAAAGCCCTAAACTGTTAAGATCAGTATGTACGGACGTACAGATCACAGGGAAGCTTATGAAAGCAGTGAAATAAGGCAACAGAAGATCCTGCAGGAGGGGTGATTAGCTCAACATGGATACAAGTCCATTTTTTTCTTGGACTGACAGATTCCAGGAACACTGCAGAAGCTGTACCAAGCCTGGAAGGAAGCAGGACTACAGGGTGACTGGAGAGGCGTTTTGTACTTATATCAAGGAAGTGTATGACTGACAGTGTCTAGCTGGGAACAGAGTCATGATCATTGTGTCTGGAGACTGGAGTTGTGGAACAGCCACTGTGCATGTGATGGTTTTAGAAGAGAGTTAGAAGCATGAGGGATTCGTCTTGTTTTTCCTAAACTTGTAGTTTCAGTCATTTTGTTCTGATTAATAGATGCCACAGAGGGAAAATGTAACTGTTCTGAGTAGTAGGCAAGAAAAGAGAATACTTACATTTTGAAAGTGCATAAAAAGGAAAGTGATGTTTTGGCTATGTACACTAAAAGACTGCCTTTCCCCCATCCTGGAAAAATGAAATAACATTAATTCTTCTGTTAAATCAGAGGTTGAGTGATCCCAAATGAAAATCACCTAAAAAAACAGCTTTCATGATGAAGTGGTAAGAATGTCAGTCTTCGTCTTTCTGGTTGGTGTCCTAGGTGTTATTCTTGATTTAATTAAGAAGAAAATACTTTCCATTCTAATAGTTAACAGAAGAATTATTCAGGTAGTAGTTTCCTGACTTCGAGTCATCTGTTCATTATTTTATTCGTTCAATAAAATCGCATCTTTGCTGCAACCCCTTCTTACCTACTAAAGAGAAGAAGGTCTGACAGCGTTATCACTTTATTACACTGTAAAATTAGGATTCATTCCAGATTTTTGCAGGCATTTGTGAGCTGAAGATCATATCCTGTACTCTTGATTACTAATGCGGTGCTCTGTCTTGACAAAGCATCCACAAGAAGAACACTGGCTTTCTGAAAAATGAGGCAACACGGAGCAGTAACACTAGCTATTTCTCATCTTCCCATAGGAACAGCTTAGGATTTGCAGGATGAATCCACAGTAAAATGTTTTGTAAAGGCAGGAAGAGAAGCTCTAATCTTGCTCCCAGTTCCCCAGACCTTCGCATTTCTTCCATATTTGTCATTGTCATTACTTAGCAAAATGACAGTGCTGTGCTTGTTGTTATAGCAACCCTAGGAAAGGAAGAAGGCTTTTATGCAGTGGTGTTTAAAACTAAGTACCAACAGCTTGTTTGTCAAAGAGCAGTGTTATATCACAGATTACTGCGCTCACAAAACTTAAATTTTTTCTGATACGGCAAAAAACACGTCTGGTACTTAGACTAATGTAAATAGAACTGGATGGATCGATCGCTGCTGCTACTAACGCCTGATGCAAAAGTAAGAAGGTGAAGCGTTCAGCTGATGATGGGGAGGGCGCAGAAGTTGAAGTGAGCATATGAATGAAAAGGTGAAACAGGCAAAAGAAATTCAGAGTCTCCACAGCAATTTAGTTGACTGACATAAGACATCAGCTTCCTCTAACAGAATGCTACCATCTCCACAGCAGTGAAAGGTATTTGAATATTATTTATGTGCTAAGATCAACAGTGTTGGCAACAAACCAGTTTATAGTTTCACCAGTTTAACTGTCAGTGTTTAACTGGTACTTTAACTACCAAAGCTAGCTGGATCATTTTCTTTCAAGTTTACCTCAGGCAATCCCATGGGCTTCATCAGTGTTTGACAGCATCTCCAACAGCACAGCTGTCAGTAGAGTGGACTTGCCCTTATCCAAACATTAATGATTTTATCTTTGCCCAACCTATATGGAGAGGGGGAACTGTTCTGGTGCAAATAGAGGCTCTGGGTACCGAGATCCCTTTCCAAGCTTTCAGCATCCATGCTGCCAGATGAAGTCTGTGGGAGCTTTGGAAGCTCAACAGCTCTGAGATTCAGAGGTGAACGGTGGCAGAACCTTGCATCCAACTCATGTCTCTGATGCTGGCCCAAGGGAAGTGCCAGGAAGGAGAAGTCAGGAATGATAGATCTGTAGAACTGCTCCTTTCATCAGCAGCCAAAATCGATGCCAGTTTTAAGTGCCATAATTTTGGACTCAAAGGCTAGAGATAGTGTTCAAAGCCATTTGTATCCTAATGAAATTAGTCCTGTTCAAGTCAGTCATTTAGAATGTGAAGGCATCTGTTTGGGACACTAAATCTTGAGGTGCTAATGCTTTGATGACAGTTGTGATATTTTGGATCATCTGGGGTATTTTTACATTTCTCCTGTAGCTGATAACAGGGATTTGTGCAGTTCCTGAAGGTTAAAAGTTTCAGTAATCTGTCAGGTTGGCTCTCTTTTCACTAATCCATTTTTACAAAGGCTTGGAAATGAAATCCAAGTGCAAGTTGAACTGAGTATAAATTCCATGGCTTCAGAAGATCTATGATTTTACCCATAACTTGTATTAGTTGCTATGTTAAAGCATGTAGTGTGCCTGCTTGCTGAATGTTCCGAGAATGTATGTTTTGGACAAAGAAAATAAGGTAACAGTGCATTTAAAGCACATATTTAAATTAAAACCTGGAGGTGATCTTGCTAGAATGTTTTCATTCCTTTTTGTGTGTGGAGAGTTACTCTCCTCTCTTGTCTTCTCTCTCTCTAAAACAGCATATAATTCCCTGATTGCTCTATGCCTGATATACCAGAATTCAATTTAAACCAAATGCTTTGAAAAGCAGTTCAGAGAAAGCCTTACTTTACCAGCAGCAGACAGCTCTCTCTTTTGATATCTTCATCGTATTAATGTACTTCAATTCTAACAGCAATATGACTACTACATTTCTTAATTGTTTTATCTATCTAGCTATGTATCTATCTGTCTATCTAACTGCTTCACTGTAGTATAAAAGTTCATTTCTGCCTCTATGGCAAAAAAAACCCCAACAAAACCAGTGCTGCTATCCATTTATATGTATTGTTCCTTCTTGTGGCATGAATGGTGGAATTTGTGTGACATTGTAGTCAATTCAGAAAAACTGCTGCTTGAGTAACTCCAGATTTGTCTGCTGTGGCGATATTGCCCAGCTGCTTGTTTTTAATTGCTTCCTCAGGAAGGAAAAGAAAAAAAGAACTGAAATATTTCTAACTGGTAGATTAGTCCAGATGTATCTTCAAAATAATGCAGCTTTTCTTAGAGTTCTGCTGTGTTACTTCCGATGACTCTTGTTGTGGTTATTTTAAAGTTACCTGTCTCCTTTTTTACTTACTGCCAAAAGTATCATCCCCAGAAAAGAGTGAGTTGTCTCCTCCATTTTAGTCTGTTATTTGGCTTAAACCCTTGACAAAAACAGGTTCACCTGAAGACATGTTGCTGTGGGGTGGAATAGTGGAGGTATGGGTCTGTGCTGTGTCCTGTTGGTTTTGCTGCAAGATTGGCAATCTGCAGCAGAAGTGGTAAGAAGCATCCATTAACTCTTCAGATGCTACAGATATTTGCTTAATAAACATAAATCAGAGCCTTCAACGAGCTTCGAAGGGACTCCACTGTTACCACAGGAGACGGCCTTATATCTAGTTTCTGCAAACAAATAAGTTTTTAAAATCATAGCTACATAATAGATGAGGAACTCTTTAGCTTGTCAAACATACATGAATTTGCTTTTGAGTTCCATGTCTATAGATGCTGTTAAGTATTACATAAAAGTAATAATGTTCTTAATAATGTCTACTCTGATGATTAAATCTGTTTATTTTACAATAACACTTAAAATGCAGATATCTTTTGATCAGAAAGATTTTCAAAGAATAACAAAATGCTTATTTAAAAGAAGTGTTTATAAATAAAACTATTTTTTCCTTTGCTGAAAGCATGTGAGATTCTTGCAAGAGGGTAGGTAGGTA